GTCCCTGCCATGGCAGGGGTGGCACTGGATGATGCTTAATGTCCTTTCCACCCAAACCAGAGTGGGGTTCTGTGCTAAATCTCATCTCAGTGTGCCCCAAGAGCCCCCTGCCCGCCCTTTGGGTGCCCCCACACTGACCACATGTCTCTGGCTGCAGCAAATGGACGATGCTGTGTACACCTTCGAGACACTGCTGCACCAGGAGCTGGGCAAGCTGCAGGGCAAGGACGACCTGTGCAAATCCATCCAGCGCATCCTCGAGAGGGTGCTCAAGGTGAGGCAGGGGTCAGGGCCTTGGTGGCCTTGTTCCAGGGCCAGGGAAGAGGCCAGGAGTGATGGTACCTATTTCAATGAGTCTTCTGGGGAAATACTTGTTTTTATTGAGGTTCTCATGGGTTTTGCTGGGGGCAGTCAAGTGGGAAATCAGCTGGAGGAGACAGGTCCCCTCTGAGCACATCTGTAAAAGCCCCCCAGGGTTCAGATTGCCCCTCAAACCCTCCTGCAGCCAGCAGTGCAAGAGCTGGCTCCTACCCGGGCTCAGAAACACTGGGAAACAGCTGGAGAGAGGGATGTGAGGCCAGAGGGCCTGTTCATGCCTGTGCAGATGGGTTGGGGGGCACATCTCAAGGATTTGTGCCCATGGGCAGGGGGCTGCCAGCCCACAGCCCTCGGTGACCTGGGGCACCCTCTCACCCTGCAGAAATTTGACTATGACAGCAGCACTGTGAGGAAGAAGTTCTTCAGAGAGGCCCTGCTGCAAATCACCATCCCCTTCCTGCTGAAAAAGCTGGCACCCACCTGCAAGGGGGTAAGAGGGGAAAAAAGTCTGGGATGTGGAGAAGGTGGGGAAGGGCTGTCCACCCCCGTGCAGGGGCTGGAGCATTCATTTCCCCCAACCTGCTGGGCTGAGCCATCTTTCCCCTGGCAGGAATTAGCCAAGTTTCAGGAGCTGATCTTTGAGGACTTTGCCAGCTTCATCCTGGTGGAGAACACCTACGAGGAGGTGGTGCTGCAGTCAGTGATGAAAGACATCATGCAAGGTAGGGTCCTGTGGCACTGTGTGAGGAGGAGTGACCCTCTGCACGGGGCTGGGGGCTGTGTGAGGAGGGGGTAACCCTCTGCTGGGGGCTGTACAGGAAGGGGGTGACCCTATGACAGGGGCTGGATAAGGAGGAGTGTTCCCATGCAGAGTCAGCTGGGGGCTGTACAGGGAGGGGTGACTGTGCTGGGGGCTGTATGAGGAGGGGTGACCCCGTGCAGGGTGCAGGGGGTGCCCCAGAAGCAGCTTTCCCACCAGGCTTCCCCACTGGCAGGGCTGAGCAGTGGGTGGGATGCTGACCCCTCTCCCAGCTCCAGCCACCTCTCCCACCACCCACGGGGAGGACTGGGCAAGGTGCCCCAAGCCTGGCAGTGCCCACAGCCCCCCTGATCCGTCCCTCCCTGTCCCCAGCTGTGAAGGAGGCGGCCGTGCAGCGGAAGCACAACCTGTACAGGGACAGCATGGTGATGCACAACAGCGATCCCAACCTGCACCTGCTGGGCGAGGGGCTGGCCATCGACTGGAGCGAGGAGTACAGCGGGCAGCCCGAGGCCGAGCGGCGCCGCAGGGCCAAGCAGGTGGTGTCGGTCATCCAGGACGACGAGGGGGCCCTGCCCTACGGGGCCGAGGCACTGCTGCAGCCCGGCTCCCCCGAGGCACGGCAGCCAGAGGAGGCACAGCCCGGGCTGCCCCCCAGCCCCGGGGATGCGGTGAAGGAGATCCGGGAGGCGCTGGCACAGGAGAGCCTCGGGGATGGCGCAGCACAGGAGCGGCTGATGAACGGCACCGACAGCGGTGGTGCCAGCGAGGAGGGGGCGCTGCTGCCCGGGGCTGCCCAAGGGGATGGCACACAGCAAGGTCCAGCCCGTGACGGGGATGGGGTGCACTGTGTGGCATCACCAGCACCTGCAGCTGAGATCCCATCAGGGACTGGGGGAGAATGTGCCACACCAGCATTGTCACCTGTCCCTGGAGCCGAGGTCCCATCAGGAACCGGGACACGCCGGGCTGCACCAGCACCGCCTGTGCCTGGAGCTGAAGTGTCAGCAGGGGGACAGTGTGCCACACCAGCATTGTCACCTGTCCCTGGAGCTGAGGTCCCAGCAGGGACTGGGGGACAGCGTCCTGGACCAGCATCACCTGTGCCCAGAGCTGATGCCCCATCAGAGGCTGAGGTGCCCCACCCCACACCAAGATCATCCGTGCCAGCTTCCCCCGTGTCTGGAGCTGATGTCCCATCAGGGGCTGGGGGACAACATCCTGGACCAGCATCACCTGTGCCCAGAGCCGATGTCCCATCAGAGGCTGAGGTGCCACACGCCACACCAAGATCATCCGTGCCAGCATCCCCCGTGCCCGGAGCTGAACCCCCATCAGTGTCCGGCGTGCCACAGGCCACAGCAGCAGCAGCCAGCCCCCGAGCCGATGTCCCAGCAGAGGCCGAGGTGCCCCATGTCACAGCAGCACCACCTGGAGCCCAGAGCCCATCACCGGCGTGTCAGCAGCACGGTGACAACGAGACAGGCGAGCACGGGGAGCGCAGCCCCCCGCAGGCCAGGGCCAGCACAGAGAGCAGTGAGGGGGTGCAGACTGAGTTCTAGCCCCAGCCCCCTGCCATGGACTGGCCCCGGTGACCCTGGGGCTGGGGGAGGGGGGTAGGACCCCCGGGATGGAGAGCAGCACCGCGGGAGAGGGAGGGGATGGGGACACCAAGACCTTACTGCGGGGGTCCCGCTGCCCTGGGGGGCTGCCCACAGCCACAGCCCCAGCTGGGCCCGACTGGGGGTGGCCCCAGTGTGGCACGGGGCATCCCTGCGCTCTGCTCTGTCCTTCTTCTGCCTTATTTTCTTTTCTACTGAGGAGATGCTTTTACTGAAGAGCTTTATCTGCCCCCCACACCAGTGCCGGGGGGGGGCTGGCACTAGCCCTGCTGAGGGTGGGGGTGCAGGACGCTCCTGGCTGTCCCCAGGGTTGTCCCTGCCCCAGTCTGGGGGGGTTCCTGGGAGCCTGCCCCACTGCCATCCCCCCCGGCCGGCTCCGGGAGCACCAGTGGAGTGGGGGCTGCAGGGGATGATGGAAAACAGGATGGCAAATGGGGACAGGAATGGGGACAGGACAGGGACAGCAATGCTGGGGGGCTTGAGCCACTGCCGAGGGGAAGAAGCATGGGCTGCTGGTGCCTAGGCTGGGCTTACAGCACCCAGGCCGGGCTCACAGCACCCAGGCCGGGCTCACAGCATCCAGAGCTCATCCCCACCCATCCTCACCCCAGGATCTTCTAGGAGCTATTTTAGGTTCAGAGTTCAGTCCCTGGGAGAAGGTGGCATTCATGCCGTGTCCCAGCTGTGCCTGGCAGGACTGGGATAATTGCAGGCTCAGCTTGCTGTGCAGTGGAGAGATCCCAGCCCTGACCCTCCAGATCTCCTCAGCACCTTCCATGGATGGTTTGTCCAGCTTTGCAGATTTTGGCACCTGCTGAGATGGCTGAGCAAAGAGCAGGGGTTTGCTGACCCCATCTGTCACAGGGATGGGGACAGGACTGCTGCAGCCCCCACACAGTGATGCCAAAAGAGGTGCTGAGGGTCTGCAGGACTCCTGGGTGTGACACCTGGAGCAGGGACCAGCACCCCAACACCCACCTGTGCTCAGGTGCCACCTGCCTCAGAAGGGGAATGGCCAGCCTAACCCACTCAGGGGGGCCCCCAAAGATGCCTTGGGAGGCTCCCCTTCAAAGTGCCTTTCTCTGTGAATTTCAAACCTGTCTCTTCCAGGATATTTTATTAAGAAAGTTATACAAATGTTTAAAGATATGCTTATAATAAATAATAAAATGGAAAAGCTTTATTTAAAGCCAGAGGAGACTCTCCTTATTTCTGACCTCCTCTCTAGTCCCACTGTGACCCAGGGGTGTCACATCCTGAGCCCACCCAGCAGTGACACAAAGCAGGAGTGGAGCTGAGATGATTTTATTAAAAGGGGTGTCCTGAGGAAGCAGCAAGAGGCACCTGGAGCAGCATTTCCCCCCTGGCACAGCCACACCAGCGGCTCAGGGGCTGCTCCAGCCCCATCCCTGAAGCACTGCACAGGAGCAGGGTGGGGGTGGCAGGACCCCCCCAGTGTCCCCAAAGGCACTGTGTGAAGAAGGGCTTGGTGCAGGGCAGCTCTGGGCAGGGCAGGAGGGCAGGGGTCCCTGTCCCCAGCTTGTCCCCTCCCCGAGCAAGTCACCGGATCGTTCCCGTTCCAGCCAGGATGAACCTCCTCGAAGAGCAGGGAGGGGGAGGAAATGCCAGCACTCCCCCTGCTGTCATCACCCGGACAAAGGTCCCTGAGAGCCGGGGGACGGCCACCAGCCGAGGCCGGTGGCAGCGTGGTGAGTGCTGGCCATGGGGCTCCCCATCCCCAGAGCGGGGCCAGCCCCCAGCAAGTCCTTGGGGTTCTGTGTCCCACCGAGCACGGGGACAAAGCCAGACCCAGCAGAAGTGAGAGCAGCTATTCCAGACAAAGGAGCAGGAGGTGGGACACGTGTGCCACCAGGGCAGGGGGCCCTAGCCCCGGCCGAGCAGGGGGTACACCATGAAATAGCCCAGCGTGGAGCCAGCGATGGCCCCCAGGAAGATCCAGGCGTTGTAGGACATGACAGCCAACATCACCATATAGCCCAGCACCACCTGCAGCACGTGGAACAGCGTCTGGGCCACGTGGAACCAAAACCACCTGCGGAAGGAGATGGGAAATGCCATCAACCAGGGGCTGGGGCAGCTGGAATCACCTCCCACCGGGAGCCTGGAGTGGGCAGAGCGGGTTTGGGGAGCAGGGAGAGGGGTGGGGGCTGCAAACAGCAGCTCAGGGGGAAATCCTGCTCCAAAATCAATGAGGCTGGCAGTAACAGCAGCCTCAGGAATAATCTGGGATTAAATACAGGAGGAAAAATCCTGGGCTTGGCTCTAAAGGAAGGAACTGCCAGGGCCAGGCTTGTGGGATATCCCCAAACCAGTAGGACCCTCCTGCACCCACAACAGCCCCTGGGAGGGGAACATGAGACTCTAGCCACCACCCTGGACATCTCCCAGAGGGTCTGGGCTGCCCCTGGAGCCATCCCAGGCTGTACACACCCCCCTTCCCTGGGAGCCCACAACTCCTCCTCACAGCCCTTCTCCCCTCTGTGCTGGCCACGGGGCCACAGAGCCACCCCTGAGCCCCCCAGGTGAGTGCCAGGAGGGTCCCTGTGGTACCTGCCCTGTGCAGAGCTGCTGTCCCTGCTGTCCCCGCTGTCCCCCTCCTGGGGCTGGGTCAGGGCCTCCTGGCTGAGGCTGCGGGGCAGGGCCAGCAGTGCCCGCTGCAGCAGCACTGCCTTGCCCATCTTCACAGCCTCGTAGAGCACAGACAGCAGCAGGATCACCAGCACCGAGAGCACCATCCCTGCAGGAGAAACATCCCAACACTGCCCATGCAAGGGGAGAGGCTGTGGGGCTCACAGGGGCACAGCAGCACCCAGCACGGGGTGTTTGGGAATATCCACGGGGTGAGGTGGAGGGCTCCTGGCACTGGGGTTGGGCAGCAGGGTTGTTAAATGTCAGGAAATGATGTATTTAGCTTTTTAATTCACAGAATGAGGTTGGAAAAGCCCTTTGAGATCAACCTGTGACCTCAGTCAACACCACCCTTTCACCCAGACCATGGCACTGAGTGCCCCATCCAGTCCTTCCTTAACACCTCCAAGGACAGTGACTCCACCACCTCCCTGGGCAGCCCCTTCCAACGCCCCTTCTGTAAAGAAATTTTTTCCTAATGTCCAGCCTAAACTTCTCCTGGCTCAGCTTAAGGCTGTGTCCTCTTGTCCCAGAGAGCTGCTGTGAAACAAATAGGCAGCTTTGCATCAACTCCATGAAAAACGTGGGAGTTAAAACATGATGTTGGGATAATCATGAAAAACAGAAAGAAAAGTGTAAAAGTGGGAAGCTGAGCCATCCCTGAGTGATCTGGAGGGTTGGCAGGCTGAGGGGGGGGCTTCACACAGTTCCCTGTTTGTTGCTCTTGGCTTGGGAGGATCAAGCACTGCCCTGGGCATGCCCAGGGCTCAGCAGGACAGGGCAGGTCCTGCCAAAAAGTGCTCCAGGAGCCGTGGGGTGAAGGCTGTGAGGAGCCCAGAGCTCTGCCCAGAGCTCTGCCCAGAGCTCTGCAGGGAGTGGAGGGATGGATGGATGGATGGATGGATGGATGGATGGATGGATGGATGGATAGGGATGTCCCAGTGCTGGCAGCCTACCTGTGGGGCTGTGCACATTCCAGAAGTCAAAGAGCAGCACTGCTGTGTCCGAGAAGTAGAAAGTCATCTGGAAAAGAAAGGGGAAGGGGCTGTGCTGGAGCTCCTTGGGGTGATGGGTGCCCACACTGTCAGCAGGAAACCCCCATCCTGGGATGCTCATCTGGGAATTCACCAAATGGTGCAAGTTTTTTTCCCCAGTTCTGAAATGGGAAGAGGAACTTGCACAGACAATCACAGTCACGCTGCCTGAGTTGAACTCCTCCCGTGATCTCCAGCAGGACAAGTTTCACCCCCAGCAGCAGCTCCTGTGCGTGTCTGGGCTGGGACAAAAAGCCAGTTTACCCTCGTGACAAAGAAAGATGAATCTAGGGCTTCATCCACGTGGATTGGGGGAGGGAAGGTCCCTGGGGACAGGTGGAGGCTGAGGGGAAGCTGGAGGGGCAGAGCCTCTGCCTCCTGCACTGCCAGGACACTCAAAAACTCAACACCAAGGCACCCAGAGCCTCAAATGTGAGCACCCAACAATGGGGGCCAGGTCCAGGGGTGCCTCCTTGGCAGAGGAACATCAATCCCAACACTGCCAGGCCCTACAAAGGCACCACCCCTCCTCCTTCACCCCGCTGGAACAGGAGGAGCAGGAATTGCTCTTGTGCAACATCGGCTGCAGAGCTCATACCCAGCTGCCACATCTTGCTCAAAAGGTGGAATTTTGTTGGTTTTTCCGTGCTCCCTTTGGTGAATCTCTCTAGGAGGCGTTTGTGGAGCTCATGGCTGCTCCTCTCCTGCATGGATCCATGTTTGGATCCGTGTTTAGCTGCTCTTTCCTGCCTTTTCCAACACCAGCAGAGGCGACTGACAGGAGCAGGATCAGCCTCAGCCAGAAATACCATCCAATGCCCTGTGGGTGTTCAGGCCACAGCCCGGCTCCAATTACACCCCTCGGCCCTTGTTACCCAAAGCACATTAGCTCATGTAATTGGCTCACCCTTTCAAGCCTCCTTTGGCCACAGATTAATGATAATTAGCCTTTAAATGAAACTATTTCTCCTTTACAGGCTTCACCCACAGGTCTGCAGTGTGGTGGAAGGAGCAGGTTACTGTTTTAGGGATGGGGGACAGAAATGATGGGAGAACCAGACTCATTAACTTTGGAAAAGCCCTCTAAGATCATGAAATCCAAACATTAACCCAGCACTGCCAAGGTCCCCACTAAACCCTGTCCCACCTCTCTATGTTTCTTGAACAATTCCAGGGATGGTGATTCCACCCCTTCCCTGGGAGCCTGTTCCAGAGATCCAGAAGATCCCTCTGCTGCCCAGCCTGGGGTGGAGTCACGTTTTTGGGTGTGACACCAAAAGGATGCTCCTTGGGCCAACAGCTCCTCTCCTACAGTGCTGCCACAGAAAGATTTATTGGTGACTGAAGGCCAGGAGGGCAAAATCCTAAAAATTTCTGCATTCTTCCCAACAGGGAAGAGCCAGGGAGATGTGCCAGGCTCAGGGATGTTGTTCAGAGGGAGAGGATCCTGTCCTCCCCCACCTGCCCACGCAGCAGGGATTGAGCAGGAGCCCAGGTGAGGCTGCGCCCAGCTCCTCCCCCGCAGGAATTCACACCAGGAAAAAAAACACTGCTGGGAAACCTCAACGTGCAGTTAGGGCTGGATCCGCTGCAGTTTTGGGGTTATTTTTAGCAAAACCAGGGGTGCCTGCACAAAGCAGTGCCAGGCTGCAGCCCAGCCTGCTGCTCCAGTCCAGCTGGGATGCCTGATCCCACACTTTGGGATAAAGCTGCCTTCCTGCAGCACCCCACCCCACCTGGAGCAGCACAGCATCCCAAACTGGGGACACACTGCCCGTGCGGGTGTCCCCAAACTGGGATCCTCCTCCTGGTGTCACCCTCCAGGCCTTGCTGGTTCAGGGGGCTGCTGCTAATAAACCAAGGGGTCTGGGAGCCTTAAATATCAAACAGAACCGTGGCATGATTTGGGTTGGGAGGGATCTGAAAGCTCATCTTGTCCCATCTCCTGCCATGGGCAGGGACACCTTCCACTATCCCAGGCTGATCCAAGCCCCGTCCAACCTGACCCTGGACTCTGCCTGGGAGATTTATGGAGTTCTGGGGAAGATTCATGGGGTTCCAAAGAGGATTTGTGGGGTTCCAGAGGGGATTTAAGGGGATACAGAGAGGACTAAAGGGGTTCCAGGGAGGATTCATAAGTTTCTAGGGAGATTTAAGGGCTTCCAGAGTGAATTCTCGGGGTTTCAGAGGGGGATCATGGGCTTCCAGGGATATTTAACGGGTTCCGGGGGGGATTCACGGGACTCCAGGGTGGATTCTCGGGGTTCCAGGGGGAATTTATGGGATTTTAGAGGGGACTCACGGGATTCCACAGTGGAATCACTGGGGGATCGTGGGGGATTCGCGGGGTTCCAAAGTAGAATCGCGGAGTTCAAGGGGGATTCTAGAGTGGAATCACGGGGTTCCAGGGAGATTTAAGGGGATCCAGAGGGGATTCTCGGGGTTCTAGGAAGGATTCTCGGGGTTCCAGGGGGGAATCACAGGGTTCCCGGGGGGATTTCCGGAGTTCCAGGAAGGTGTCCCGGTCCCGGCCGTGCCGTGCCCGCCCCGCCCCGGGCTCACCTGCATGGTGCCGGTGGCAGCGGGCGCGGGGCCCGGCGCGGGGCTGATGTCCCGGAGCTGTCCCGGGGCTGTCCCAGAGCTGTCCCAGAGCTGTCCCGGAGCTGTTCCCGGGCTGTCCCGGGGCTGTCGCGCCGATGTCGCGGCGCTGTCGCAGCAGCGCGGGGCTCCCCGGGAGCTGTAGTGCGGCCGGGCCGGGGCGGTGCCGTGTGTGTCCCCTCCTCCTCCATTCCCTATCAGTGCCGTGTGTGTCCCCGCCTCCCCCATCCCTTGTCACTGCCATGTCTGTCCCTCCCTCTATCCCCTGTCACTGCCGTGTGTGTCCCCTCCTCCTCTCCCCGGGCACAGCGCGTCCCGGCCCCTCCGCGCTCGGGGTTTCGCTTTCCCTTCGCTCCTGGCTCCATCCGCTTTCCCCCCGCCCCATCCCAGTCCCGGAGCTGATCCAAAGCGCCCAAGGGATTTTCTGCTGGTCCCCTCCCCACCCTAAAAATGCTGAAAGTTTTTTAGGGGTGTTCAGCTTAGAGAGGAGAAGGATCCTGGGAGAGCTCAGAGCCCCTGCCAGGGCCCTAAAGGGGCTCCAGGAGAGCTGGAGAGGGACTGGGGACAAGGGATGGAGGGACAGGACACAGGGAATGGCTCCCACTGCCAGAGGGCAGGGCTGGATGGGATATTGGGCAGGAATTGTTCCCTGGCAGGGTGGGCAGGCCCTGGCACAGGGTGCCCAGAGCAGCTGTGGCTGCCCCTGGATCCCTGGCAGTGCCCAAGGCCAGGTTGGACATTGGGGCTGGGAGCAGCCTGGGACAGTGGGAGGGGTCCCTGCCATGGCAGGGGTGGCACTGGATGGTCTCTAAGCTCTATTCCAACCCAAACCATTTAGCATTCTAGGATTTTACTTTCCCCAGAGACAAGCAGGACAAAGGGGAACTTTCCTCCCAGCTGTGACTAGAAGCACACAGGTCACAGCTCAGTGCTGGAACATTCCAACCATCCCCATTACACCTGGGACAGGGAGTGCTGAGCTGCCCCTTCCTCAGTTTCCCCAAGTACCAGCAGGTGCAGATGCCCACAAAGGCACCCAGTGCTACAGGGCCTGGCTCTACACCACTAAATCCCTCTCAGTGAGATGGACACTCAAAACCAAGGCAGGATTTGGGGGGGTTACCATTTTCACCCCTTTGCAGCACTTGGTGGGATGGAGGTGCTGCAGCAGCACCACACTGAGCTCTCCCGGGCTCACCAGGGCCAATTCCCAGCCCAATCCTGGGGAATCAATGCTCCAAACATTTGTGCACTTGACCCTGGCAAAGAAAAGCTCCTTTCCTTCCCCTTTTCCCAAGCTGGTGCTAGTTTTGCTCCTTGTTTTTTTTTTTTTCTTTACAGACAGTTCCCAATGATTATAATTACCCAAACCTCCCCCAAACAGTAATTAAATCTGCACCTTCTCATATAGAATATATACATATATAATATACATATAATTTATAGAGAAATGACTTTTGTAAACAATATTCCTCTAGTCCACAAGGAAGTGGAGTCCAGGGCATAACACAGCTCCAAACACGGAGCTTGGAGAGAACCAGCAGCTTTGTGGGGCAGGTACCACCCCCAGCACCCACTTGTCCCCATTGGGATGGCTCCTGGGTGGGGACAGAACCGGCTGGCTCGGTTTGGGTGGCACCACTTTCAGCTGAAGCAAACTGGTCCGACTGTGAAACCAAACTGGTGCGAGGTGTCGCCGTTGTGGAAGACAGCCAGGTCCCGCAGGGGCAGCAGCCACAGCTCCTCCGTGCTGAACTGGAAGATGGTGTCGGTGATGGAGGACTCGTTGTCCAGCTGAAATGACCACCAGGGACAGCTGAGTGGCACCAAAGCCCTCAGCTGAGGGCCTGGAGCTCCCTTGACTGCTCCTTGATGAACCCAGTCTCCATCTCCAGCCCTTCCTGGCTTTTCCACGGTGGTGACCTCTCCCATGTCCCCCATGTCCCACCCCATCCCTTGCCACATCCCAGGACCAGTGAGCTCATTGGGCCCGAGGAGTGGATGCTCCCCATCCCCATCCACCCGGTGCATCCCAAACCGTGGGGGCTCAAACACCCTCCAAAGGGCTCTCCAAATGCCGGGAAGCTTTTCCAGACACCAAGGCTGCGCAGGGCCGGGCTCACCAGGCAGCCCTGCAGGCTGGCAGCATAGCTGTGATCGCGGGAGTCGGCCAGGAAGCGGATTTCCTTGCGGGGCTGGGGCCGGCCGCGCTCGGGGGTCGCTCTGCAGGAGTACGAGACCTTCTGCGCGGCGCGCTGGCTGTGCAGGCGCAGGAAGCGCAGCTGCACCGGGCTGGCCCCCGAGTATTCCAGCTGCGGGGACAGCGGGACACAAAACTGCGGCGGCTCCTTCGGGGGGCTCTGCTCCCCCCGAGGATAAACCCCGCCAGGGTCCAGCCCCTGCTAAAGCACTGGAGTTCCTGGCAGGAGGAGCTGTCCCCTCCCTCTGTGCACAGCCAGGGGAGCTGGCCCACCGCTGCAGGGTGGAATTGGGGTGGAGGTGACCTCCCTGACCTCACCCCTGTGTCCCCCTGGCTGTTCCAGCCGGGCACTCACCAGGAAGCCCCCGGGCAGGGTGCTGAACCACTCAAAGGTGTTCTCAGAGCTGTAGGTGCTCAGCCAAGCCTTGATGGGGACCTGAGGGGAGCAGGGACAATTGTCAGGCTGTCCCAGCAGGGGATAGTGGCACTGACAGGACAAGGAGCCAGCACCGAGCCTGTGTGTGCTGTCCCTGCAGCCTGGCACACACCAGGACCAGGATCCTCATTCCAGAGTGCTCCAACAGCTCCCTGGGCACCACAGCAAGGGACTGGTCACCACAGCAAGGGACTGGTCACCACAGCAAGGGACTGGTCACCACAGTGAGGGACTGGCCACCACAGCAAGGGACTGGTCACCACAGTGAGGGACTGGCCACCACAGTGAGGGACTGGTCATTTTGTCCCTCTCCAGCCCCACCAACCCTTGTCCCCATCCACCCTGAGGGGTCCCTCGGGGCTGAAGCTGCCCCATAAAAGCCCCCCCGTACCTGGTTGTGGACAGGGGCTATGCAGGTCTCCCCCCCAGCTGTGAAGTTGCAGAAGGCCAGCAGTGCATCCTGGGGGCTGCCCTGGTTGGGGTCGATGTAGTATTGCCCTGCAGGGAGGAGAGGAGAGCCCCTGGCACCCAGGTTTGGCACAGGGACGGTGTCACACAGTGCCATCCCACCCCAGCTGGTGGCCTGGCCCATTTCTCCAGGGATGTTCACAAACCCCATCTGACCTCCTCCCCCCAAACCCTTACTCCCTCTTTATTTCAAAGAGCTGCCTGTCCCTTCACAGGCTCTGGAGACCAGGCCAGGCCCAGGGGGGCCCCCATGCCCCTGGTACCGTCGGGCAGGCCGGGGTGGGCCAGCAGCAGCTCCTTGCAGGTGGTGGCCGGGTTGGTTTTGGTGCCATTGGGATGCTCCACGAGGGCTTGGAGCTCCCGGCTCAGGGTGTCCAGCAGAGCCCAGACCACGGTGTAATTCAGGTGGTTGGAGGAATAAATGAGGTGCTGAAAGAAAAAGGAGGGGATATCACCAAGCTGACCACAGATCCCCCCACCAGGAGCATCATCAGGTGCTGAGGAAGGGGATGGGATGTGGAGGGGACAAGGACAAGTGTGGGGGGAGAGGGAGTAGCTGGATCTTCTTGGTCCAGGCACACAGGGGACCTCAGAAGCAGCAGGGCATGGGACAGCACCACTGGGAGCCCCTTCCCTCCTGGCCAAAGGTCACTCACCTGCAGCTCCTCCTGGGACAGCACCAGTGCAGGCCCGCTGGGACCAGGGGGGCCAGCCAGACCCTGGGGGACAATGACAGTGCTGCTGGCACTGGCTGCTGCCCACAAACCCCTCAGCAGCTCCTCCACCAGTGCCAGCAGCTGGACATCCCCATGGAATGCCAGCATGGCAGGGCCTCACTGCATGTTTGGGGGAGTGAGGAACCCAGATTTTGGGATGAGGGGCGTCGGTGGCTCTGCTTACCGGCATTCCCGGTGTGCCCCTGGGGCCTGGCAGGCCCGGGAAGCCTCTGAGCCCCTGCCAAAGGAGGAGGTGGAGAAGGGAAGGAGAACAAGGTGGGAGATGCTGCTGTGCTGAGCTGCACCCCTGGAGTGGGACGGAGGGGAGGGGTCCCATGGCAGGGCTGATCCCACTCCAGCTGCTCCCCACTACTTACTTTGGGTCCAGACAAGCCCTGGAAGGAAAGGACAAGACCAGGATGAGAGGGGGGCGGGTGGGATCAAAGCTGCATCCTTGTGGGGCCAGGAGTGAACCCCAAACCTGCAGCAGGGGGAAGGACTCACCGGTGTCCCGGGGATTCCAGGGTGTCCCCGTGGGCCAGGGGGTCCAGTGTCACCCTGCAAGGACACCAGAGCAGCTCAGGGTGCTGCACAGCACATCCCCCAGCCCTGCATCCTTCTACAAGCCAGCCTCTTCCCCGAGTGGATTTTATATGGAAAAGTAAGAAATTCACCCCAAATACTCATTTCAGACCCTGACATCCCTTTCACCCTGCCCTTACCTGCTTTCCCTTGGGTCCTGGCCTCCCAGGAATACCGTGGGGTCCTGGCTTGCCCTGGGAAATGTGGCAGGATGTCACACAGGGTGACAAGGGACCCAGGGGGGACAAAGAAGAGCCAAACCTGTCACACACCTTGAAGCCATCGTCCCCTTGCTGGCCAAGGTCACCCTTGCTGCCCTTCTCGCCCTAGGAGAGAGTCAGGGAGAGCTTTGGTGGCAAAGGGAAGGACAGATCCCTCAGGACACCAGTGTGGGTGGGGAACCTCCCACTTATGGCTGGCTGCAAAATTTCTGGAGCAAAATCCCCAAACAGCCATCCTTTGGATTCCATAGAATTCACTGCAGCCACATTGCTGGGCACAGAGGCAGCAGGAGGCATGATCAGCTCCAAACTGAAAGGATCATCCCAGACTAAAAAAATCTCTCAGGAAAACCTTGGAAGTTGTCAGGAAGCACTTGGAGAGAATAAAGAAGATTCTTGGTGTGCTGAAACCAGAAGCAGGGGAAAAATCCCAGCACAGCCTCCCCTCTACCTGCTCTCCCAGGAGCTGCTCACAATAAATAAAGTTTTAATAAATTTAAGGTTTCATTTTCCTGAAGGCTCTGAACAGATCCCCATCACCAGGGACTGCTTGATACTCTTATTTATGGCCATGGGGCTGAGGGATGGGATGGGATGGGATGGGATGGGATGGGATGGGATGGGATATTTGGGTTGTGCTCAGCTCCTCCAGCCAAGTCTGGTCCCATCAGGAATGGCACAAGGGAGGTTCAGCTCGTGCTGCATCAGCATCAATGCTGACAGCAGGGATTAAAAGGCTCCACACTGCTGCTTGCAACTCCAGGAGGATGGAAAAGCTGGAAAAGGACTGGATTTGGGAGATAATCTGAAGGTTCCATCTCCCAGCACCTGGGGACAGGGTGGCCAATCCCCAGAGAAGGATGGTGCAGATATCAGGGTTCAAAAAGAGGGGAATTAGGGGTGGCATTCAGCAAATTAAATGCCCAGTGTCCCTGCTGAGCCTGGCACATGTCTCCTACCTTGTGTCCTTTGGGTCCAGGGTCTCCTTTGATGCCCTTCAGCCCCGGGATGCCCTAAGAGAGAAACATGGAACTGCTGAGCTGCTCCTGCCAGCCCCTGGCAAGGAGGGATCTCCTCACCCCTGAGGATTCTGAGGTTTTCAGGCAGTTTTAGGAACTTTAATGCATTTTCTCATCATTTCTTTGATTTTTGCTTTTAGGGGGATCCCTCAGCAAAGCCCATTAAAAATGCACTGGAAGTGCTTTGGCTGGCTGAAGTGAAGTTGCCAAAGTTGGGCTTTTTTATTTTAAGCAGGAAAAAAAGCATTTTCTATTAATTCAAATAAATATTTGAATCCTTTTTGCTGGCTGCAGTTTGTCCCTCCAGCCATGACAGCTCTCTGGGAAGGTTGGCACAGTCCCACCAGTGCTCAGCACTGCCTGGCATCAGACATATGCCTGAAAAGAAGGGTTTGACCTCCAGAACCACATTTTGGGAATGATGTGATTTGTCTGACTGCACACACCCTCCTGGGATGTTAATTAGGGAGGAGAAGACAGGAGGAGATGGATGAACCACTTAAAAACTTCCCTCATTTTAAACAGGTCCCTGCAGAGCTGGGTGACACAGTGGGGTCAAACAGAGAGCAGCCAGCACCCCAAACCCCACACTGATACTCACATAGGGTCCCTGGGGGCCTTGGGGTCCTGGAAGTCCTTTGTCACCTGGGTAGCCCTGAAATGCAAAGGGAGAAGCCCTGGCTGTGCCCAGGGTGATGCTCCAGGGCAGGGAGAGCAGCCCACGGGGGCTGTGGGTGTGGGAGATGCCCTTGTTGGGCTGGGAGGCTCTGGGGGGACAGAGCTCTCAGTTATCATGGTTAATTCTTTTCTAACCCGGGGTTCAGGCAGGTGGGAGCACCCCCAAACCGCCAGGGGGGCAAGGCAGCATCACAAAGCCACCTACCTTGTGTCCCCAGGGACCCCGTGGGGGCTGCTGGCCCATCTTGCCTCGCTTGCCCTAGGGACCACAGAGGAAAGACTCACAAACTGATCCAGACACCCCTCACCCCTCCAGGATCCCCCCTCCAGGGATTCTGAGCCCCCAGAAAATGGGACTCCCCTGCTCCCCGCTCCCTGCCACCCTCCACGGGGACAGCAGTGCCACTTACCCGTCTGCCAGCTTCTCCTGGGACCCCTGGGTCCCCTTCCTGCCCTGGGTCACCCTGGGGGAGGAAGAGATGGGAGATGTGGGTCTCCAACAGCTCAGCCACATCCCAGGACTGGGGAGGAGGAGCTGCTGCCTGCATGGAGATGGGGACAGAGCCCACCAGGCCCTGGGGGATTCTGGAGATGGGCACCAAGAGCTGAGAGCCCGTGCCCCCCCAGGGCCACCTGAGCCAGGCTGGAGGCAGGATCTGCCAGTCCCTCACCCAAAAACCAGCCCAAGGGCACCCTGTGTTTGCCAGGTGAGGAAAAACAGGTCCCCCTGGTCAATTCCCAGTTTTCTCTCCATGGTGCCCAATGGGATTGACCAGCTCAGGCTTGCCCACCCCATGCCCACTCAGGTGCCATCCCCAGGGGAGGATTTTGGGGGTACCTTATCTCCTTTGCGGCCTTTCCATCCTTTAGGACCAGCTTGTCCAGGAGACCCCTAAAACCCCAAAGGAGAAGGAAACCCCTCTGTGAGGACGCTGTGCCAGGGATGCCTCTCCTGGCTCCCCCCCTGCCTTGCCCCAGTGTGCACAGGAGGATGCTCGGAGCTGGAATCTTCCCTTTGGGATTTTCCCTCTCTCTGGAGCAGGCTGGGCAGAAGGGGGCTGTGGGAGGGTTCAACAGGAGCAGGAGATGGTGCCTGCATTGGACTTGGACACATCAGGAGATGCCAGCATCCCACAGCCTCTTTCAGGGAGAGCTGCCACGGGTCCATCCCACTCCTCACCATTTGTCCTGGTTTTCCTGGCTTGCCTGGCTCCCCTTTTGCACCCACCAGGCCCTAAGAAGGAAAACACAATTCCAGGCAAATCCAAAACTTTGGGTTATTCACCCAAATCCCAGGCAGGCTGTCAGAGGGACACAGATGTGGGAGGCTGGAAAAGCTGAGCAGGGAATGGGGCAGAGAGGAGCCTGCTCACCTCGGTGCCACTCAGACCAGTGACTCCAGCTTCACCCGGTGGCCCGAGAGTCCCCTGGGTTCATTTGGGGACAAAACATGAGGCTGGCACCAGGGGAAGGCAGGAGGGCACAGCTGGGGCTGTTGTCCCCAGGGACAGGGATGTCCCCTGCCTGTCCCCATGGAGCAGAGGTGTTACCTGCCGGCCTGGCTGGCCCTTGGTGCCCGTCACTCCTCTGGCTCCCTCATGCCCGGTGTAGCCCCGGAGCCCAGGGGCACCTGCCAGCCCCTGAGCCCCCTGCGAGCCCTGCAGGGCACAGAGATGGGGACACTGCTCACCCCCATCCCCTGCAGGGCCCGAGCAGCCACCCCTGAGGGGCTTCAGCTGCGCTGAGCTTTGCAAATCCCCCTGGAGATTATTCCACAGCAAATGCCCCTGGAATTTATTCCACACCAAATCCCCCTGGAGTTTATTCCACACCAAATCCCCCTGGAGTTTATCCCACACCAAATCCCCCTGGAGTTTATTCCACAGCAAATGACCCTGGAGTTTATTCCACACCAAATGCCCCTGGAGTTTATTCCACAGCAAATGCCCCTGAAGTTTATTCCACATCAAATCCCCCTGGAGTTTATTCCACAGCAAATGCCCCTGGAGTTTATCCCACAGCAAATGCCCCTGGAGTTTATTCCACACCAAATCCCCCTAGAGTTTATTCCACAGCAAATGCCCCTGGAGTTTATTCCACAGCAAATGACCCTGGAGTTTATTCCACAGCCTGACCTCTTCCAGCACATCACCCAAGCTAAAGGCTCAGAGCAACCTGGTCTGTGGGAGGTGTCCCTGCTCACGGCAGGGGATGGAATCCATTGAGCTTTGAGGTCCCTTCCAACCCAAACCAGTCTGGGATTCCCTAAGGGCCCATCTTGCCTGGGCAGAGCAGCCCTGCAACGTGGGAAAACTGGGATGCACGTGGGATTTGTCCTGCAGCTGAGCTCAGGGCAGCCATAACACATCTGGGGGCTCTCTGTCATGACCATAATCCCCATCCTGGGGCACCTCAAGTGTTCCAGGCACTGGGCAGCTCCCAGAGCCCCATGGATACCTGCAGATCTGTCCCAAGCAGGGGGAAATCCAGAGCCCTGGAGCTGCCTCAGGCAGATTCCAGCAGCCAAGTGTTACCTGTGCAACAGCCCTGGCACTTTGGCACGGCTTTTAACAGCTCTATTAAAATTCCTTTAGGGAGCTTTAGCTGTGGGAAATCCAAGGAAGCAGTGACTCAGTTCCAAGGCAGGAGCTGGGAGCCATGGCCAGGCTGGCAGAGCTCACTTTGCAGCCACCCCCAGGGTGAGACACATCCCAAAACGCCACCAAACCTCTTTCCCAGGGGAAATTTTTATGGGCAGAGCTGCTACTCACCACTGGGCCGGGCTTGCCACTATCTCCCTTTGCTCCATCATCTCCAGCCAGTCCCTGTGGGGACATTGGGGGGTCAGAAAAACCCCCTTACACCGTGACCTTCACCTCTGTGGGGGCTTGGAGCATCCTGTCCCACATCCCAAGCTCAGTTGGCCAAGACAGCACTGGGAACCTCGTGGGAGTGAACAGGATTCAGCAGCAGGAACAGGTTTTCCATGAGGCTCCCCTCATGGGTGCTGGAAAGGGTCTGATATTTGGGGTTTAGGCACTGGGAGTTTGGGGTTTTAGGGTCCCGGGAGCCAGTGCTGAGGTATGAGGTGTTAAATAAACCCCCTCCTCATTTCTGAGCCCCCTGACCTGGCCACTGAAGGGACAATAAATCCTTTGGGTTCTACTGGAAAGGGAAGAGCTGGAGAAGCCTTTGGCAATTCCCAGCTCTGCAACATTGCAGGCATCAGTACCTCGAATCCTGCAGCCCCAGCAGGTCCATCCACACCTCGTGGTCCTGGATCTCCCTGGGGAAAGGAGGGAAAACTGCTCTGTCCATGGAAAAACCCTTCCCTGCCTTGCTGGCTTTGGATCGCAGGCAACAAGGCAAGGGGTGTCCCATGGCAGGTCCCCTGTCACCAGCCTGCCCAGGACATCCATGCAGCCATTCCCACCGGGAAAGCTTGGGAAGAGGCCAGAAAAGGGAGTTTCACCCAGAGATGAAGGCTTGGAGCCATCATCCCTCCATACCTTCTGTCCCTCGGGACCATCGAGCCCAGGAGGACCCCGCAGTCCTGTCCCCCCCTGTTCAGGGCACAAGCAGAGGAGCCCGGGTCACTCAGCCCTGCCCAGCCACACAAATGTCCCCTCACCAGGTCTGGGACAGAGATGGGCCCTGCCCAGTGCTCCCAGTCACACAAATGTCCCCCCACCACACCCATGACAGGTTGAAAGGGGAGAGGGGACATGATCTGACTTACAAACCATCCTCTGGCTCCAGCAGGTCCTGCAGCTCCGGTGACACCGCCCTGGCCCTGGCACAGAGGCAGACGTGTTCCCAGCCTGGCATTACCCCAAACTGCCCCACAAACCCAAACCACCCTTTCGTGCCAACAAGACCCAATTTTGGTGTCATGCCTGTGAGACGTGAAACTCCCTAATTATGGAGATTTTGACAATTCCTAGGACTTTCTGAATCTCCCAGAGCCCCAGGTTTCCCACCAGGGGTGTGTCCCCGCCTTGGCACCCATCACCCAGGGACACACATCACTTTGGGGACACTGGAGGGTGAGCCCAGCCCCAGCTGTACTTGCCAGCAAACCTTCTCGGCCCTTCTCTCCCTTCTGGCCTTTCCCTCCAATTTCCCCCATGGCAGCTCCTGGACCAGGAATTCCAGGAAGGCCCCTGGGGCCAGCATTGCCCTGCTCAGGGATGGAGACAAGTGTCACCACAAAGAGGGAAAAGTAACAGCAATAAATGAGTTTCTGCACTGAGTGAGCTGTGTCACCCTCTGGTGCCACCGAGAGCAGGTCACCCTGGAGTGCTCCTCAGCCATGGGGACACCCCCGTCCTGCTCTGTCCCCACCATGGAGCAGCCGAGGTTGAGCAGCAGAGCCAGGGGTGTCCCCGAGGTGCTGGAAAGAGGGACAGAGTTAGAGACACCCCTCACCTTCCGTCCCCGCAGTCCTGGCTCACCCGGGTCTCCAATGTCACCAGTGTCACCCTGCCCAGGCAGAAATGCCCACATCAGACACAGCAGCTGCTCCCCAGCCCCATCACAGGGCGGGCTAAAAGCTGGCTTTGATTTCCACGGGCTTTTCCACTCTCCCCTGGCTGGGATTTCGATGCTGGGTAAAGCACACCCTCACCTCCTGTGCCAGGAGATCACCCCAGCTGTGACCCTGCTACCCCAAAAGTGAGTGGGGACAAAATGCTGAGCACACCTAGCCCAGCATGGGGACCCCAAAACATCAACCCCCAGTTCCATGGGAGCATCCCGGGCTCTGTGGGGCAAAGCCATGGCATGGACAGAGTGCAGAGGCAGCACCATTGCCATTGCCACTCCCTGTGGGGACAATCCCACACGTACCTCCTTGCCTTGCATCCCAGGCCGTCCCGGTGGCCCCTCTGTCCCCTCGTCCCCTGGCTCCCCAGGGCTCCCTCTGATGCCTGGAGCTCCACGGGTTCCTGCCTCTCCCTGGACAGGATGAAGATGACCAGAATGATTCTTGGCTGCTTTTTCCAGCTGAGCCTGGCTCTGTCCTCCATGGTTTCCCATAGTGGGAAAACCCCACTTTTCTTATGGGACCCCTCTGCCATGTCCAGAAATGTCAATTCCCATGCATGAGGGTGCTGGGGAGGGTTTCAAACACCTCCCATGCATTCAGATGACCCTGTAGGAGCCCAGCCCCACCCCAGCACCCACCTGCTCACCCTTGGGCCCCCGCTGACCCTCTGCTCCTGGTGGTCCTGGTGGTCCCTGCAGAGGAAAGACAAGCCCAGCCCTAGCACAGCTCATTGACCCGGCTTTAACCTTCTGGCTTTTTTGAGGATCAGCAGCCTCATCCCATCCTTTCCCATCCTTGGAACAGGGAGCTGGGGAGGGGGAGGCTGGAGCAGCCCCATCAGGGTGGGGACACAGTTCCCTGTGTTGTACCTGCTCCCCATCCAGCCCACGGACTCCGGCTCCCCCGGGATCTCCCACCTCACCCTGCAGAGGACACAAAAGCAGGACAAGCAGCCGTGCTGCTTCTGTCTCTGCAGCTCTCTGAGATGTAAATCCCCATCCCACAGGGATGGGAGCAGCCCTGGGGAGGTCAGTGGGGTGAGCCCGAGGCTCTGGGCAGCTCCCAGGGAAACCAAATCCTCTCCTCTGTCCTCACCTTCTCTCCTCTCATCCCTGCAGGCCCTTTGTATCCATGTGGACCTTCCCGGCCCTGAGAACAAACATCTCACATCAGCAGAGAGGCTCGGCCCGAACTCAGGAGCCTTTGCAGCTCCTGAGCAGGGTCTGGGATGTCCTGACACATCACACATCACACGGGAAGAGAATCCACACTCCAGCTCCTCAATCCCCCTGCAACAGCTTTCCTTTTCCTTCCCTTCCTGCAGGTGCTTTAGGGAGATTCCCCAAAGGTGCTGCTGCAGCAAATCCTTAATCCCTGTCCCCTGAGAGGATCAGTGGAGGGGTGCCAGCAGCACTCACCGGGTACCCGGCCGGGCCAGCAGCACCAGCTGCTCCAGGAGCTCCTCTTTCTCCACCCAAGCCAGGCTTCCCGGGAATGCCATCCTGCCCTCTCGTGCCAGGAACACCCTGCAAGGCCAAAAAGCCCCTTAGCCCCCAAAACCACAGCTCTGGGGGGCTAAGCCAAGGAAAGCCCCGTGACTGATACAGCTGAGTCACCTCGGGGTCCAAAGGTGCCCATCCCTGGAGGTGTAGGACATTGGTGTCCCCACTTGTCACCACCCACACACAGGGTTTGGGGTGTTCCCTGCCCCACAACCACCCCAGGGATGAGGATGCCCTGAAGTGGGCACCAATGTCCACCCTGTGGGACATCACCCCAGCCCAGCAAGGTGCAGCTCTGCACTTACAGGCAGCCCTGGGAGCCCTCGAGGTCCTGGGTCACCTGTTCTGCCCTGGGAAAAGAAGGATGTTGAGCAATGTGTCCATGGAATGGGGAACCAGGGAACTGGGATCAGGGTGAGGCTTTGCTCAGAGAAATCCCCATATCTTGGGACCAGTGGTGTCTGTGCAGCATCAGGACAGAGCCCAGGCAGCAGGGAGTGGGACCAGGGTCCTGCCTGCTCCCAAAAGGGGTTTGGGATGGATCCATGCTGCAGGCAGCTCAGGGGGTGTGTGCAGGTCACACATCCATGCAGAGGGATCGGAGCAGCAGGAATACAGGGAGCAGGGAGAGCCCTACCTGGGAGCCAGGAGCACCACGAGGACCAGGGGGACCTGGCAGGGCCTGGGGGACAGGAGCACCATCAGTGACACAGCCCTGGCTGAGCCCCCTCCCAGTTTAACTGCAAGACTGGCAAAAGTTCCCCATGGAAAAGATTTCCTGTTTTCTCCACTTCCAGCCCAGCACAGAAAACTTGCTTGGTGATTTCCAGGGGGCTGGAGCTGCCAGAACAGCAGCAAACAGTGCTTACCTTTGGACCAGCTTTTCCTGGAAATCCTGGTGGGCCTTGAGCTCCCCTTTCTCCCTGTTGGGAGGTAAGAAAGATTTCCTTTCCTCTGTACGTTTTAATGCAAAAACCTCTTTAAAAAGCACAACAAAACAGACAAAAAGCAGCTCTTAGAACAATCCAGAGGTGTTCAGGCAGAGGAGGTGCTGGACTGCCAATGGTTCACCTGCTGTGGGAGACAGATCCAGCTGTTCTCCTCCCACCGTGGCTGATGGAGGTTGTGGACACCTCCAAACCCATCCACTGGGTTCAAAACTCTTCCCAAAAATGCTTCCAGTGTTGGAGTGGGTGTCCCATCCTTACCTTGTCTCCCCTGCGTCCCAACCTCCCGCGGTCTCCAGCAGGTCCTGGATAGCCCTGGGAAGAGCTGGGGGTTAGGGGGCAGCTGGGGCTGCCTGGCTTCTCTGGATTTTGGGGAGAAGGTGGCTGAGGAAAAGGCAGGAAACCCTGGGAGGGTGGTGAGTGCCCAGGTGGAGGCTGCTGCAGCCTCCTCCCAGTCTGGCCACCACCGTGTCCCCTCCGTGTCCCCTCCATCACTTACATAGGTGCCCACAGGTCCTTGTGGCCCCTCCAGACCAGGCTTCCCAGGCAGCCCCTGCCAGGCAAAACAATGGAATTAGCAAACCCCCATTCCCTATGCATCAGGCACCCTCCCTTCCTCAGTGATCCCATGGGATGTGAGGAGCCCTCGGGCTGAGTCCATGGGATTCCCCCCAGGTCTCCCCATGGCAGCCCAGAGCCTCTGAGGGCTGTTCACCATCATCACCCCCCCAACCAGCCCCCCAAACCTCAGTCCTCACCTTTGGGCCCAAGGAACCCGGGTCTCCATCAGGTCCAGGCTTTCCTGAAGAGCCCTTTGGGATGATTAGGGGAGGTGTCAGTTAAAGGCTGAGAGGAGAGGAGCCCCACCGAGCCCCCACTGCTGCCCCTGAGCTCGTGGCCAGGGGTCACCTGGGGCCAGCAGGGTCACAGGGGGCAAACTCAGCCATTGTGGCTGGTCCTGCTGGCTCCTGCACACCGACCCCAATGGCTGGCAGGGCTGTCACCAGGGAAGGGGACAATCCTTGCTCTCAACATCATCACCATGCCAAGTTCTCAGGGAGGAGCTGTTCCAGCTGCAGGAGCTGTTCCAGGTCTCCATCCCACATCACTGAGCTGGAAGGGACCCACAGGATCCCCCAGGGCAGCCCCTGTCCCTGCCCAGACCCCCCAACAATCCCAGCCTGTCCATCCCTGGCAGCGCTGTCCAAACGCTCCTGGAGCTCTGGCAGCCTCGGGGCCGTGCCCATTCCCTGGGGAGCCTGGGCTGTGCCCAGCACCCTCCCTCTGAACCTGTGCCACCCTCTGCCACTGGGATCTCCTCCCAGGACCCAGAGCCAGCTCCTGCTCAGCCATGGAGGGGTTCCCATGAGCTGCCATGCCCCATGGATACCCTGCTAGGCTCAGCAAGGCTGCTCAGTTCCTGGAGCAGGCTGATTCCTTGGGGGAATGATTCTGCTCTTCCCTAGCCCCAGCTACTTCCACCACTGAGGCTTTTTAATGTCTTTTATCAACCAGGTAAGATCAGGTCCTACAGATGCCCTGATTGCCAAGGAAAGTCGCACATTCCCCACCAGCAGCACCAGCCCCACTGACATCCCACCTAGAAAAACACACAGTTCATGCAAAGGAACGTTATTTCTCCTTACTATGGATCCAGGAGTTCCAGCATGCCCACGGCCCCCTGGCAAACCAGCAAATCCCTGGAGGAAAGGGCAGCAGAGGAGCCATGGAGGGAAGGCAGGAGAGGAGGATGGAGAAACTCAGCCCCTGGTTTGAGCCCCACACAAAGGACGGGTAAAGGGCCCAGCCTGGTCAAGGCAGCACTGGGGCTTTTCCTTAAAATCCAACTCCTGGATTCCTCATGGAATCACTACAGCTGTGTGGGGACACACACAGCACCCACTCGTGCCCTCAGACACTGTGTGTGATGCTGGCAGCACTCAGGTGTGTCTCTTACCCAGTTTTCATCCTCTCTTTTGAGGGAAGTGCCAGATTTTTATTTTTTAATTATTTTTTTAGATTTCAGAGTGAAGATAAATATATGAAATCTTGCAGTAGGGAACGCCTGCTGCCAGCCCCAGGTCTTGCTCCTGGATCTGTTCAGGATAGCAGTGCCAGGGGTGGGAAATCCCACTGCCCTGTTCCCAATCCTTCCCCCCTCAGCAGGATTCCCAGAGGAGCATGTCCATCCCATGGACATGCTTTGGGGGCACATTCCCAAAGGGCTAAAGCTGAGCAGAGGGATGGAAAGCCAGAAATCAGCTCTACTCACCAGTGGTCCCCTCCTGCCTGGGCTGCCCAAGATCCCTGGGTGGCCCTGCAGGACGAGGATGAGGATGGGGAGGCAGAACAGCCTCTCCCAGTCCCCATCATGGCAAAGTCCATGGTATCAAGGCTTGTCCCACGTGGCCATGGGGACGGGAAGTTGGGAAGTGTCCCCATTGATGTACCAAGCTCTTGTCCCACACAGCCACAGGGATGGGAGGTTGGGAAGTGTCCCCATGGGCACAGCTGTCCCTGTCCCCATGCCAGCCCCCTGTCCCCAGCCAAGTACAGATGTAGGATGGGAACCTGTGTACCAGGCTTTCCTTCTGTGCCCTCTGCTCCTGGCACGCCACGCGAGCCCTGCAAGGAGAGTTTTGTCTCAGGGTGACCCCACCAAGGGCTCCTCTGGCCCCAGGGCCTCCCTGCAGGGTGACAGTGTGCGACATCAGTGGTGGCACTGCCTGGCCTGTGTGGAGCTGTGTGTTCCTCAGTGCACAGCTCGTCCCACACAGTTCCTGCAGATCCCCCTGCTCCGCCCCACCTTGGCACGGGAGAAAACACCCGTGTGGGAGGGAAGCTGTTTTCACCAGGAACACCTCGGCTGGGTTTTCCCTCCTCCTGCCCCAGATGTTTATTCCTGGCTCCTTCACCAGCCACAGCCCCAAATAACAGAGCTGCCTTATAAAAGTTCTTTCCTGGAATTTTCTGTGCTCAGCGTTCTGGAGGAAGTCGTGCTGTTGGGCAGGTGGTTTGTCAAAATGTAACATGCCACAGCCTGAGCTGCTCATCCCCAACTTCTCCTGTCCAAATTCCCGACCCTCTGATCTGGCCACATCCCAGGATGCTGCTCCCATGTCCCAGAGCTGACAGCTCCACATGGCAGCACAGGGATGTGGGATATCCTCTACTTACAGGCAGTCCAGGGACTCCAACCAGCCCACGCTGCCCCACACGGCCCTGGAAAACACCAGGAATCACAAAACCATCCATCTGCCAGCAGCAAAGCTGCAGGTTTGGAGGAAAATCTTGTTCCTGAAGGATGTGCTCTGCCCCAGCACATGCCAAGCCAAGCAAGGGGTGTTTCAACCCAGGGTTGTTTCAATCCCCCACAGCCAAAGATGCTCCAAGATCCAGCCCCAAACTCCAGCACCCCATTATTTACCCGGGCTCCCCGGGGTCCTGGGCTTCCCTTGGGGCCATCAGGTCCTTGGCATCCCTAAAATGCACACAGAGGAGAACACAGACATTGCAAATCTATAGGGCAGGTCAGGGGGATGCCATGCACAGGGAGGGGACCGAGAGGCTGGAGACCCTCCCAGGATGGTGTCCCTGGGTCCCAGGGTGGGCACGCCCTGTTTTCCACGCAAGGAAGTGGGCAGCCCGTGGGGAAGCAGCAAATTCTGGTGCTGACCTTGGGTCCCTCGCTGCTGTTCAGCCCTGCAGGGCCAATCTGACCTTCTTCTCCCTGTCAGGAGAGAGGGGAGGAATCATCCAGGGAAATCCTCATCAGCCTCTGATCCTGAGGGAATCACCAGCCTGCTGCTGGTGGAGGGAAAATCACTGCGAGTGTGACCAGAGGTGACATTAATAAATGTCACCAGTTGATCTTTGGTGGGAATGGGGACTTCCCCCATCTCACAGGGTTAAAGAAACAGGAAGAAAGAAAAATCTCCACAGTTTGGTGTGGCCCAAAGTGACACAGTTGGATGTTTTTGTTTCCTGGTGGACAAATTAAAGGCAATTCCAAGGACTGCAGTACCAAGGCTCCTGCCTGCTCCAGCCCCTGTGCCAGCAGCACTGCCTGGGAGGGTGGACAAGGCAGGGAGATGATTCCTGCTGCATCCCCAGCCCCTGGAGAGGTGGAAGGAGCTGTTATTCATCCTGAAGAGCAGAAAAGCACATCCACGAAGGTATCCCAAAAGCTTTGGAGTGGGAGACCATCCTCTGCAGACTGGAAGGTGGGTGGGAAAATAATCCTCCTTTTCCTGAGAGCTGGGAATCACTACAGAATCACAGCCTGGCCTCAGTTCCCAGCTCAAACACGGATCTGGAGGTGGCTTCAGTCACCCAGACAGCTCTCTCAGAGCACACACTGCAGGAAAAAGCATTCCCAAAGCTCTGCAGGGCTGCCAGCACAGGCTCCAGGAGCAGGGAGGGGCACAAAATGAGCAATCCATGAACCCTCTGCTCCCAAAAGCTGCAAAGAAGCTGATCCAGAGCAGGGACTCAGCAGGATCCTGCAGAGCTGCTCGGGCTGGGAATCCTCTGCCTGAGGCTGCTCTGGCATCAGTGAAGCCAGCAGTGAATTTTGGGGTGAAGAGGTGTGGAGCAGGCACAGCAAAGCTCGGTCTGGCTGCTGGGGGCTCTGGGCCAAGATGCTGTGAAAGGGATCCCTTAGGAGAGACCCCATAAATCAGCCCTGCCTGCCCCCCTCAGGGCTGTGCCCACGCTGTCACACAGGTCACACATGTGCTCCCCCCAGCACACTCCAGTCCAGCAGTGGCACTCACGTCTGGTCCCCGTGGCCCTGCTGCCCCTCGGGGGCCAGGGAAGCCCTGCAAGCCCCCCTGGCCCCGGGCTCCTGGGGGGCCTTTTGCTCCCTGTGCTCCTCGTGGGCCCTTGGAGGAATAAAACACAGAATGTCACAAAGCAGGGACAGCAATTCCCTGATTCAGAGGCAGGAATTCCCCTGGAGAACCCATCACTGGCAGGGGTGAGCACCCCAAACCCTCCTCCCCAGCATCCCTGGGGCACCAGAAATGGGGAAATGCATTTTTTAAACAGCCAAAGCGAGATGGAGACGTGAAGGTTGGTGGGATCAGCACAAAATGAGGTGCCTGGCTGTCACAGTCCCCAAAACCCAGCAGGGTCCTGGGGCAGCCACCCCCACCCACCCCACAGCTGGTGAAGCACATCTGAACACCACAGGGAGCAGCTGGAGGCACCACAGGTTTGGGAATTGGTACCTTGCCTCCTCTGGCTCCCAAATCTCCCTTGGCTCCACCCGGACCTCGGCAGCCCTGCAAGAGCAGCAGCAGTGGAGGTTACACTGAGAAACCCCTGGTGCAAGCTGTGATCTGATTCTGGCACCAAATAAAGGGAATTTTGCCCTGTTCCAGTCAGGGCTTTCCTGCTGGGAGCAGGGACCTGCTGGAGGGAGGCTCCAGGGCTTTTGGGTTCAATCCCCACCAAACCAACCCCAGCACCCCATGCCAGTGCCAGTGCCAGCTCCCAGCTGGTGGTGGCATCTCTGGCACAATGACAAGTGTCTTATCCTCACTGCTGTGTTCCTTAACTCAGGCCAAAGCACTCCCACTTCCCTGAGCCTCCCGAAGGCAGGGGATCCCTTAGGACACTGCCAAGTCTGAAAGCTCCTCTTATCACAGCAAAAGGAGCCTGAGGAGCTCAGCTCTGCCTTCCCAAACAGCTCCAGCTGCCACCTATCAAATATCAAGTCCAAGCACACATAAAGAACAGGGAGCTGCAGCTTTGGGCTGCTCTGCCATGCAGGATCCAAAACAGGATCCCATGGATGCCATCACTCACCCGCTCTCCTTGGGGGCCTTTTGCACCTGGCAGGCCAAGAAAACCCTTCAGGGAGAGAGAGAGAGAGAGAGAGAGAGAGAGAGAGAAAATGCAAGTTAAAAAAGAAAAGCACAAAGGGGAGTACTGCATGTGCTCCTGAGAAAACTCTGCCACAGCACTGGGATGGGATGGGATGGGATGGGATGGGATGGGGAATGGGAGGCACCGGTTTGGCTCTGCAGAGTTGCTGCTGAGATGCCCCTGTGTGGGATTTGTTCCCCAAAAAGGAACCACAAGAGTCACAAACCCTCCCTACACTGCACCTAAGATGAGGATGAGGTCCTTGTTCAGTTCCAAAATACACCCTGCAGATCTCACCCCACACTGCTGATCCCATTCCAAACCTCAGTTCCCAACTCTGTGCGTTGGGGTCCCAGGACACGGGGAAGGGACACCTGGGCCAGGCAGGAGGAAGGTCAGGCTGCCCAAAGCCTTTGGAAAAGGCAGCTGAGCATCCAAACCCCTCGGGAAAAGGGTGCCCCAGGGAAGGGATGGGCAGGGCTGGGTCATCTATGCTGATAAATCCAGAGGGAAAGAATAAAAATCAAAGTGCCTGAAAGCAGAAGGGTCAGAGGAACTTTGGGGGAGATGAATGTGGCCACAGGGACGTGGCTGGCATCTCCATCAGCCCGGTGGGAATGCAGGGGAAACAGGGCATTCCCTGCAGGCTTTTGTGGGGATGTCAGGGGGAGGATGAGAGCACCCCACATCCACCCACCCCCTTCCCATGCACTTACCCCAGGGCCCTCCAGTCCCAGCTGTCCCCTCACCCCAGGGGCACCATCTGTACCCTGCAAGAAGAATCCTGGAATCACAGACTGGAGGCTGGAGGGACCCACAGGATCATCAATCCAGCCCCTGTCCCTGCCCATCCCAGCCTGTCCATCCCTGGCAGCGCTGTCCAAACGCTCCTGGAGCTCTGGCAGCCTCGGGGCCGTGCCCATTCCCTGGGGAGCCTGGGCAGTGCCCAGCACCCTCTGGGGGAAGAACCTTGCCCTGAGCTCCAGCCTGAGCCTGCCCTGGCCCAGCTCCAGCCGTTCCCTGGCCCCTGTCCCTGTCCCAGAGTGAAGAGCTCTCATCAGAGCACCCAGACCCTCCATGTCCCCTCCCCGGGGTGATCAGGGACCTCCAGGTGCCATTTGGGAGCTCAGCTGGAAGTGCTGCCCCCTCTCTCCTCCAAAACCAGGGACAGGGACTCCCTCAACCCCTTGAGGTTTCCTTGAAGGGAAATGCCCCCAACCTGGGCTTCATCCCCACCAAGGTGCAGAAAAACTCTTACTGTGTCTCCTTTGGGACCAGGACATCCCTCCAGCCCTGCTGGACCCTGGGGAAAGCAAAGGCAGGGGGATACTGGGGAGAAGAGAGATGTGGCTCCCTGTCCTGCTCTGTGGATGAGACCCCAGCCCACAGGAACCTGCCCAGCCCCCGAAGCTGCCTCACACCCAGGGGCAATTTCCCCACCAGGTCACCCGGGGGACACAGCCCTTCCCACCCACTCGTGGGGGGCCACAAGGATCCCCAAGGTCAAGGATTTCACATCCACTTCCCAAATACATGGGGGACAAATTCCAGCAGCTCCTGGGAGAGGACTGGGGGGATGCACCCACTCCAGGACAGCACCCACTCACCTGAGAGCCCCTGGGGCCAGGGGGGCCACGTCTGCCCTGCAAGCCCTGGGGACCCTGCAGAGGGGAGACGGGGAGCCACAAATCAAATCCCGGCAGGGTAAAACCTCTCCTGGGGATTCCCAGCTGCCGAGGAGCTCCGGAGCTCCCAGCTTATGGCACACTAAGGGGAACAGAAAGGATTCCCACCCCTGACCCAGCCTCTGCAGCTTTTGGGGCGGGTTGGGATCACAGGCTAGGAGAGGCTCCATCCCAGGACACCCCACCAGGCATCGCCTACCTTGGGGCCGCGGGGGCCGGGCATCCCAGGAGGACCCATTTCCCCCTGCGGAGAGAGCAGGGCAGGGTGAGCGCAAAATCCCAAATAACAAAGGATGGGGAGGACGGGGCACACCCACCTGAGAGCCATTGATGCCTCGGCATCCCACGGGTCCCGGCTGGCCAGGCTGGCCCTGCAAGGCAAGACCCACAGGGGAGGTGGGACAGGGACTTGTGAGCATCCCTGGGATGCTGGAGCGCTTTACTGGTGAGTTTTAACACCAGTAAATTTCAACCACCAGTGCTTTACTGGTGAGTTTTAACACCACGTTTCCTTTTGCAATCCTCCCCCCACTACCAGGGATGGTTTTAACCAAATGCAGCATTTTTAGGTGTAAATTAGAACTGGGAAGGACAAGGTGCCACTCTGGGCAGCAGCAGCTCTGCTGCCTGAACTTTCACTCTGAACAAACCCCTGAGACTCACCATGGGACCAGCAGGGCCCGGGGGACCCACAGAGCCATCTTCTCCCTGCAGCAGAGAGAAAAAAAAAGGCACTTTTTGTTTTGATTCTCTCCTTCATCCCAAATCCTTTTTTTCCTTCACATCATTTTTCACATTTCTTCACACAAGCTGCCTGATGTCCCCTTGGACATTTGCTGACCAACCCCAGCTCCCTCTCATGTTGGAGAATGCATCCATGCACCACCAAACCACTTCAATTTTCCTTTAAAATCCTTTTCCAGCCCTTTCCTGGACGGGATGTCTCCCAGTTGTGTGGGAGCACTGCGATATCCATATGCTGAGAGCAGCCTGGAAAAACCAGGTGCTGCCAGCCTGGGATTCATCTCAGCTGGAGGTGGCCACCTAAAATAAATCCCAATGTGCTCATTTTTCTTCATTTCTCCTCATTCCCAGCCAGAACAGGGATGGGAAATGCTGGAGGCAAGGCCCCAAGGTGCCTGGATACAAATCCCTGCTCACAGCCCTCTTCCCAGCAGGAATTCCAGGTTCCTGCACCCCTTTGGGGAGGGCAGGGGGCACAGGGAAGGTAAGTCCACTCACCTCTGGCCCTGCAGGGCCCTGGAAGCCCATGACCCCCTTCAGCCCCGCCATCCCCTGGGAGAGAAGGTGGGAATGAGGTGTCAGCACCCCGAGGTGACACTGCCCTTGTCCCCTCCCTCACAGGGACAACACAGAGACCACCAGGGCTTTGCCAAAGCCAGGAGAGTGTGGGCTGGAGCTTGGGGACATGGCAGAGAGGGACAGGGGGCAGGCCAGCAAAGGGGGTGGAAGGAAGGCTGTGAGACCCCTCCAGCTCCACAGGTCACTCACCTGGAGCCCAGCAGGACCTGGCAGCCCATTCTCTCCCTTCACCCCCTGGAAAAGCCAAGAGCAGCCTGAGTGATGGAGGAGAGCAGGACCTGGGCTGGGGGGCTGTGGCAGGGAAGGAGAGACCCCTGCCCACCCTGGCAGGGCTGTGAGGGGCAGGGACAGCCACCCTCACCTTCACTCCCTTCTCTCCTTTGTCCCCAGCTGGTCCAGGGGCTCCCAAGAAACCCTGAAATGGAACAAGGATGAAATGGGAACAAGGATGAGCCCCAGCTGGGCCACCAGGAGTTCAAATGTGGCTGCTGTGCCTCAGGGGACACAATCAGGGTGGGGCAGGAGGATGGGGACCCTCAAGGTGGTGCTAAATGGGGCAGAGCCTGGCTGCTGGTCCCCAGCATGGTGTCACCTCCCTGCAGCTCTTGTTGCACTGTGCCACCCACAGCAGTGGCACAGGGCTGGCACAGGGCATGGCACAGGCACGAGGGTACAAAGTGTGGCCCAGAACAGGGATCTGATAATTTACATGGACTGCTGCTTCAAAAAGTAGAAATTAGCTCTCAAACCCACCGGGGTGATCAGACCTTTGAGGAGCCCAGAAATCTCCTGGGCAGCTCTAAAAATGTTGGCCTTAACAAGACTAAGTGATGGGAAAATTAAAAAAATTAAAGGGTGACAAATCACCAGCATTCACTTTTTTATGGATATTTCCCAAAGCCCTGGATGAGCCTGGGGAGGAGCTGCAGGACCAGTGCTGGTACCAGTGCTGGTGTTTGGCACCAGGAGCATGGGCTGGGGCAGGGGCTGGCACTGCTGGGACTGGGGCTGCCACCTCATCGTGCCCATGGCTCTGCGAGCCAGAGCCAACTCACCTCTTCTCCCTTGTCCCCAGCCAGCCCTCGGTCACCCTGGAAGCCCTGGAGGCCCTGGGAAGAGGGAGGAAGGAGCAGAGCAGGCACTGAGGGGCTGCCCAGCACCTCCCACCCGTGTCCACCCCACTCCCCAGCAGCTGCTGAGAGTCCCAAACTTTCCAGCAACATCCAGTCCCTGTCCTTTAACCCCCCTGAGAAAGCTCCCAAGCCCAGGGGCATTGTCTGTATTCCCCAGAGATTGCTGCCAGGGGTCTGGAAAAGGGATCAAGGAACCAGATTCCTGGATTGAACACTATCCAGCCATTCTGGAATTACTCTCATTTCCTGGTGACCCTCCAAATTTTGAGCCCTCAAGTCCTCGGAGCACCCTGCTTTAGTGGAATGTGTCCCTTCCCATGGCATGGGGTGGAATGAGATGATTTTCAGGTCCCTTCCAACCCAAGCCATTCCATGATTTGCAGGTATTTTCCACAGAGAGGTCCAGGTGGAGCAGCCCAGCCCTAGTGCTCAGACCCTTCACCCCCAGGAGCTGCAGCTCTGGTTATCCCAGCCCCTTAAAGCACACGTGGGATGCTCCATAACCCTTTTATTCCTGGGAAACCTAAACCTCGAGGCACTAATCCAGGCCTGCCTGCTTTAGGGACTGAGGAGAAATATTCTAAAGGAGGTAAGAGAAGGAAGAACAGCTTTGGGGCTCCCTGTCTGCTGCCTGGGGTTTGCAGCTCCAGTTTCCCTTGATCCTGAGCATTCCCTGAGCCTGCTCATGGCTCACCTGCTCCCCTGGCAGCCCCCACGGCCCAGGTTTGCCATCCAAGCCAGGGAAACCATCAGAGCCAGGGTATCCCACACGTCCTGGCAAGCCCTGGAGCCCGGGTTCCCCCTGAGGAGAAAAATCCGAGCAAAGAAAATGTAAAAATCCACATTAGCAGTAAAGGAAACACTGGAGCTCTGCCTGCCTCTGGCTCTGGAGCTGGGGAAAAGCTTCATGCACCCAGAGGCTGCAGGTGTTGGGCACGTGGATCTTTCCAGGTTCTCCTCCAAAACCCTGGGATAGTTGGAGCCAGGGGTTGTACAGCAGGAAGCAACACAGGGCAGGGAAGAAGAAATGAGAGTGAGAGAAGGTGGAGTGAAAGCTCCTGCATCAGCTCCTGGCTCAAAGCTATTCCTGATCCTTTCCCACATGCAGGAGTCAGAGCAGATCCACCTCAGCATCCATCACCAGCTCAAGCTTCAGGGCAGCTTTTCCTTTACCCCTGAGCTCAGTGCAATCCTGAGTCCAGGCAGGTTGAAGGGCAGGGTGGAGCAGAGCTGCAGTGATGTGTGAGTGGGACATTGCTCTCCTGTCCTTGCACCCACAGGGAGCTGAGCTGGGCAGTCCCAGGGGGATGGGAACCCAGGAGGGATCCCCATGGAGGGGCACAGGCAGAGCTCACCCATCCCATCCAGAGCTGGGGCGTTTCCAGAGGGTGACCAAGGGCTCTGGGACAGCTGGTTTGGGACACCTGTCTGGGAGAGCATCACCTGGGGGCGTGCAGCACCCAAAGGGGCTGTGCTGGGTGTGACTGAGCCATCCCTGGTGCTGCAGGCACAGCACAAGAGGAGAAGGATTTTGTGCAGAGCCACCCCTGCCTGGCACAGAAAGGCTGGGAGGGGAGCAGGGCATCGATCCTGTGGGAGCTGTGGGTCTGGATGGTCGGGACTGACTGAGAGATCTCTAAAGCCAGGGGTTGGGACTTGTGCTTTATTGCAAAGGGCGTGGGTGAAAGGGTGAAAGGGTGAAAGGGCCCTGCTTGGAGCTGCAGCCACAGCTCAGAGCAGGCTGTGAGAGCAGTAAAGAAGAGAAGTAAAAGAGTAAAGTAAGAGAAGTAAGAACGGTGAGAGAGGTAAGAGCATAAGAGAGGTAAAAGCAATAAAAGAGCAAGGTTCCCATTACAATACAATCAATCTTCTTCTGTGTTGAATATTCTAACTTTCACTCACCAATCTAATACAAGATACAAATCCTATAGCATTTACATACAGCCTATAAGAATCACTACATTACCAGACTGTGTTACACTTTAAACCCTAAAAACTACTCTTTGGACCCTCTTTACCAAGCTAGTAGGGTCTTTTCTGACCCTTGGACCTGTCTGCAGGCAGAGGGGATTGCTCAGTCAAGAGGGGATTATTTTCAGCTGGCCATACTATTGTTTTCTAGGTGTTCAGTAACTAAGGTTTGGTATCTCAAAGATGGCTTTCATTTCAATCTCACTTATAGTTTCCATATTCTCAAAATCTTTTGCCAGGCAATCATATTTATAAGGTTTTCCATTTTCATCTTCCCCAACAGATCCCATCCCTCCAAACCAGGGACACCATTCCCAAACTGTCCCTAACCCCCATCAGCCAGGGGCTGATCCAAGAGGTGCCAGGGCAGCCCTGAGGGCACATTGAACCTTTCCAAAGTGTCCCCAGAGCCCTCACTCACCGTGTACCCCCGCTGGCCTTTCTCCCCTGGCTCTCCTGGTGCTCCACAGGGTCCCTGTGCACAAACAGGGATTGAGTCACCCAGGGTGTCCCAAGGTGTCCCCTCATCCTCCCCCCAGCCCTGTGCAGGCTGGGAGGACAAGCAGCAATGCCCAGAGGAGACCTTGGGAAGGGCAGAGTGGGATTCACATCCCTGGCACCCCCACCCTGCCCACCATGCCAGGGGCTGTGCCCAGGGCATGTTTGGAGTCAGGATTTATTTTTCCACTGCTTTGGTTCCTGATGGGATGTCAGGACAGGGAGTTCTGTTTTCCTTTCCTTTGCCTTATGGCCAGATGGGGGGAAGCATCACCCAGCAATGCCAGGGTAGTGGGCATGGGGCTGAGACCCCCCCCAGCACAGGCTGGCCCCACACAAATCCTGCCCCAGCCCTTCCCTGCCTTGTTTTTGTGCCTCTGGGAGGAATCCACAAGGTCTCTTCCCCAAAAACAAGGGCTGGAACCTGATGCCCCAGGAAACGGAGCCAGTCCTGCTCAGCAGGCAGAGATGGAGGGGCTGTGGCTGCCAGGAAAACCCTGGGAGTTGGATATCAAACATCCTGGGTTTCAGTGGGAAGCAGACAAGAAATCCATTAGGCTGCTTTGAAACCCAATCCCAAAGTCCCTAATTACAGCACAGCAGCAGCCACAGCCCGAGTGCTTGGGGACATCCACCCTGAAAGTGTCCCCAGGGCAGCCAGGGTGGCAGCAGGGCCACCAAGGGGACAGCAGGGCTTTTGTACTTACAGGTGCTCCTGTTTTCCCAGGATGTCCTGGGGGCCCGGGAGCTCCAGGTTTTCTCTGGATTAAAAAGAAAAACATCGGTAAAACGCATCAAGTGATTGGAGCAAGGAGAACTCAGCTGGCAACAAGGAAAAATCCAAACACAAAGTGACTGAAGTGGCACTCACCGGCCAGCCTGCGTGCAGGAGTTGGTAAAATGATGATTGCTGAAAGAAAAATGAGGGGAAAAGCAAAATGTTAAAAACAAAAAAATCCCCAATCCCCTTTTGCTGGCTTTATAGACTTTCTCCTTGTCTTGGGAAGATGCAGCAATGAACCACTCCTTTAATTCAATTATTTATTTCATACTCTGCATGCAAGGCACAGGAGAAAGAACAACCTGGGGATAATGTGTGGGAAATAAGGAACTACTTCAGTAGAGAATTAGGCAGAGCCCACTTCTCCTGGGGTTTGGTGAAATTCAGCTCCTCCATGGATGGCCTGCAGCCCTGGGACACCAGAAATGTTTGGGATATGGAAAGGTCAGAAACCAAAGGACTATCAGATAAAATCAGCTGCACTTTGCCCTCAGTGGGGAATCACCTCCAGCCTCTGGAAAACCCAGAGGAGCAGATGCTCAGTAGCTTTTCGTCTTGCTGCTCCCAGCAGCCAAATCTTGGATGCACTTCCAATTTTTCCGAAAAGCAGATAACCACAGAGAGGGGAAAACCCACCAGAAAGGCCTAGGGTGGCTTAATCCCATCCAACCACAGCTAATTCCATTTTATTTCCAAACCAGCATAAAGCTCCTAAAACCACCTGGTGCAGCCTCCTCTCTGCACACTCCCAAGCCAGGTTTTCCCAGATTCTGGGAGGTGTCCAGGAAATAAAATGTCCATCTCCAGCTACCAGCAGCACAGGGAGGCAAAACCCATCTTTCCTCCTCCTCCTCCTTTCCTTGGTGACCCCAGACCGATGGTCCAGGCAGCTCCTCCAAATCCTGCCTCGCATCAATGGCTAAAATATCCCTTTCCTTATCCATCATCCCAGTCCCAGGCAGCTGGAGGGGCAGGATTCCCCTGTGCTCCCCAATTTCAACCTCGGGGGCACAGGGAAACCTCTCGTGTGGGGAGAGAGGGGAGGAACTCATGGAGGAAAATAAACACAGAGCTTTCCACAGATGGAAATATTCCTAGCAATGAGCAGCACTCTCATGGCAGATGATGGATGGCATCCCTGCTCCTTTCAAACTGATCCCAAATTGATTTCTGTGGGTGAATGGTGCAGCCCCTGCCAGGACCATGTTCCTCCTGTCCAGCCAGTTCTCATTTCCCTCAAATTCCGCTCCCAAAACCTTTCTGGAGGAGGTTGGAGCAGGGCCAACGCTTTTGCCTTGTCTCAGGAATCAGTGAACTTTGATTCACTCAGGACAGGATATTATTTCATCCAACCTTTTAAAAAGAGGGAAGACAAAATCCCACGTGAGACTCGGATTTCGGAGCAGCAGATGCCAAGGAGGGGGGAGCAGTTCATTGGCTCTGCAATTCCAGCAGGAAACTCTGGGAGCTTTGCTGCAGCTCTGACAGGGGGAGCAGCACAAGGGACGGGAGGGAGGATGGGGAGCAGCAGCCCTGGGGATCTGTGTGGGGTTGGGGATCTTTGTGGGATTGGGGGTCTGTATGGGATTGGGGGGTCTGTGTGGGATTGGGGGTCTCTGAGGATTGGGGATCTGTGTGGGATTGGGGATCTGTGTGGGATTGGGGATCTGTATGGGATTGGGGTCTGTGTGGGATTGGGGGGCTGTGTGGGATTGGGGGGGTCTGTATGGGACTGGGGATCTGTATGGGATTTGGCATCTGTGTGGGTTGGGGAGCTGTGTGGGATTGGGGGGTCTGTGTGGGATTGGGGATCACTGTGGGATTGGGGATCTGTGTGGAGTTGGGGATCTGTATGGGATTGGGGTCTGTGTGGGATTGGGGGTCTGTGTGGGATTGGAGGGGTCTGTATGGGACTGGGGATCTGTATGGGGTTGGGGGTCTGTGTGGGACTGGGGGTCTGTGTGGGATTGAGGGGGTCTGTGCTCCTGGAAAGCTCCAGCTGGGAGCAGAGCAGAGGAACTGAACCCTTCAGCAGCCCTGGGGGAGATCAGGGCAGGCCTGGCAGAGCAGCTTTGGCTGCCCAGCCTGTGCCACCCTCTGCAGTCACCCCATGGCCACTCTGTGCCACCCTGTGCCACCCTCTGCAGTCACCCCACGACCCCCCTGTGCCACCCTCTGCAGTGACCCCATGGCCATCCCCAACCTGTGCCATCCCCACCGTGGCAAATGCCAACCCTGCAGTAGCAGCACATCCCTAAAATTTCCCTATTTTTTTTCATGGATCAATTTTTTCTTTCCCTCCGAGGTTCCCAGGCACCATTCCCCAGCCTGACCTGCAGCTTTTAAAGGCATTTTAAAGGATGAAAGGGAAGGAGTCTGGTGCTGCAGATTTAGCTCTCCAGTAACTGTGGGAGCTCCAGTTCTCCTTCCCAGGATTCTGGGACTTCCCCACTGCTGAAGCCAATTCCACAACAAGCCAGCAGCAGTTCCTGCCCCTCCAGCCACACTGAGACAAGTTCTTGGCAAAGGCAACATCTGTCAACACATCGGGAACACAAACACGGGACAAGGGCCTGGGCTGGAATCACAGCGGCCTTGAGCTGCTTTCCCTTAATTCCCAATAACAACAAAGGCTTTTTTCCATGGGAAAGGAGCAGGAGAGGCTGCTGGGCACCACAACAGCCACAGCTGCTCTGGGACAGTCACCACATCCCTTGTTTTCCCAACCCATCCTCCTGCAGTGTCCCTGAGCCTGAGGAGCTTCCCTGCTCCAGGATACCCCAAATCCCCCAAACCACAGGGATCTGCTCCATGGGAGCACAGAGCTGTGGGGGCTGCAGGCACAGCCAGCCCCAGCCCCAGAGCAGCCACTTCCCCCCTGGCCTTATCTCAACAGAGATTAACAAATCCCAGCCCAGGGCTTTGGGTTTTCCTGCTGCCGCCGGCGGCACTGCCAGGGTCACAGAGCCACAGACACAATGGCCCTGGGTGGCTTTGGGGTGGCCCACAGACCCCTCAGCAGACACTGCCTCCCCCTGAAATCGGCACTGGGCCAGCCCTGCTGGGACTGGGCCAGCACAGAGCCCAGGGGACAGCACAGAGCCCAGGGGAAAGGGACAGAGACCAGGGGAAAGGGACAGAGACCAGGGGACAGAGACAGCACAGAGCCCAGGGACAAGGGATAGCACAGAGACCAGGGGACAGGGACAGAGAGCAGGGGCAAGGGATAGAACAGAAACCAGGGGACAGCACAGAGCCCAGGGGACAGGGAGAGCACAGAGCCTAGGGACAAGGGATAGCACAGAGACCAGGGGACAGGGACAGAGACCAGGAGAAAGGGACAGCACAGATCCCCGGGGACAGGGAGAGCACAGAGCCCAGGGGAAAGGGACAGAGCCCAGGGACAAGGGACAGCACTCAGAGCCCAGGGGAAAGGGAGAGCACAAAGCCCAGGGGACAAGGAAGAGCACTCAGAGCCCAAGGGACAGCACAGAGCCCAGGGACAAGGGACAAAGGACAGCACTCAGAGCCCAGGGGACAGCACAGAGCCCAGGGGAAAGGGCCAGCACTCAGAGCCCATAGCCAGGATCCAGCATCTCTCCAGCTCTGCCTTCCCAAGCTCAGACAGGACATGTTCCCTCCAGCATTCCAAAGTGGGGACACCAAGAAATTCCTGGTCCACAGCAACATCCATAGGTGTGACTGTTCCTGCCTGCAGGACAGCAAAACCTGAGGTCTCTTTGCAAACACAGGCGAGGGGAAGGTAAAGGGAATCCTGACTGCAGAGCAAAGGATGGGAGCAGCTCTGCAAAGTGCTGTAAGCACGGCCTGAGAGCAGGAATTGGTTAGGGAGGGGTCTGCCCTGGTGGAAGCAGATCCCTGGCGTGGAGATATCCAGCTCCCTCTCTCCTATCCCTGTTTATTCCTGCACACACTGCGTGCCCGTGATGGATCTTGGACCCTGCACAGCTCCTGCCCCGGAGCAGCAGGAGGATGGCAGAACAAGGAGGTTCTCCAGGTCAACCAAAACTTCTGCAGATGATCAACTCTCCTGCACTTCCCAGCAGGAATCTGATCTCTACTTTTATCCAATTCAACCAAAACCACAAAGGTCTGGCCCAAGGACTCCCAGCAGGTCAATCCAAGCTCAGATCCAGAGCTGTAGAGGACCACCACCACCATCATCATCATCATCATCATCATCATCATCATCATCATCATCATCATCATCATCATCATCCTCCAGCACCATCCCCACCCCGGCTGTGCTGTGCTAGCAGAGCAGAGAGCCTCCTGCTGCATCCCCTCCCCAGAATCCCAGCATTTGCCCTGGAGCAGAGGCTGCAATGATGTCTCTTCACCAATGAATGAACTGTGGAGAGCTCAAATATCCTGCCCAGGGTCACTGGAGCTCTTGGAGTGTGGAGCCTGAGCTCTCAGCAGCCCATTGCTCTGGCCCTGAAGCCACTGATAGCATCGTGCCACACTGCAGGGCCCCGAGGGACAGCAGAGCCATGCAAACAGAGAGCATTGCCAGCCCCAGGAAAAGTGCCTGGGGCACTTAGAAACCCAATGCCTTCAGTACTGCCCTGCCCAGGCCAGGCTCCACAGGGAGATTCAAACTAGATTAATCACAGCAATGACAGTGGCTGTGCTGTCAGGAGTTGGGAATTCTTGATGAACCTGGCTGGGCTGTTCAGTGAGTTCTGGAGTCATCCCATGGGGTTTTGCATCCAGCTGTGCAGTGCCTGAGGCACTCCTGCCTGCCCACAGATCCCATCCTGCTCCAGTGGATCAGGGAGAAAATACCTCAGCAAGAGCTGGATGGGCACAAACCCTGTGAGCCAAACCTGGGACACAGAAAGGAGCTGGGAGAGGGTGGGACACAGGAGAGGAGCTTTGTAATCAGCACCACAGAGCAGGAGAAGGGCTGCTCATGCCTGGCTTGGATCTTCCCTGGGCCCTGTCCTGCAGAACCATCCCAGGGAGGTGATGGATGGACCATGGGGGGCCAAGATGTGCTGGTCAGTCCCAGGGGACAGAGGGACAGGGCACACGCTAATCCCATCCCACCCACAGAGCCACCCCAGGGAGCTGCACCTCCTTCCTTGGAATCTCCCTCTGCCCTCACCTCCCACCCAACAATGGGGAATCTCAGCCACAGCAAACCCTCCCATCCCATCCCATCCCATCCCATCCCATCCCATCCCATCCCATCCCATCCCATCCCATCCCATCCCATCCCATCCCATCCCATCCCAGGGATGCTGGGGAGGATGCTGGAGCTGCAGTCATTAACTCACCGTGAACGACTGCCAGTCCTCCCTGGAGTTCCTCCAGAGGACGATGGTGGGGACACCGGGGATGCCAGCAGGGCCGGGGTCACCTGGGGGGCCCGTCCGCCCCATGGCCCCGGGGTATCCCTGCAGAGACAAGGACAGCTCCTTCAAACCAGCAGGGATTTAGGCTGGACACAGGCTCTGCCTCAGAGCAGGGTCAGGGTCTGGGCAGGGCCTGGGTCTGCAGGGCTGCAGGATAAATGTCCCTGCAAGATGATCTCATGGATATGAAATGGGGCTGGGCTTTGGGACATGCCAGTGTCCCTCCTCCATGTGGCCTGAGCTGCAGCTGCTCCAGCTCCCATTGAGTGCTCAAAGGGAAGACAGCAGCTTGTCCAGGCAGCTCAGGCACAGAATCACAAAACAAACTGAGCTGGAGGGACCCACCAGGATCCCCCAGGGCAGCCCCTGTCCCTGCCCAGCCCCCCCAACAATCCCAGCCTGTCCATCCCTGGCAGCGCTGTCCAAACGCTCCTGGAGCTCTGGCAGCCTCGGGGCCGTGCCCATTCCCTGGGGAGCCTGGGCAGTGCCCAGCACCCTCTGGGGGAAGAACCTTGCCCTGAGCTCCAGCCTGAGCCTGCCCTGGCCCAGCTCCAGCCGTTCCCTGGCTCCTGTCCCTGTCCCAGAGTGAAGAGCTCTCATCAGAGCACCCAGACCCTCCATGTCCCCTCCCCGGGGTGACCAGGGACCTCCAGGTGCCATTTGGGAGATCAGCTGGAAGTGCTGCCCCCTCTCTCCTCCAAAACCAGGAACAGGAGCCCCCTCAACACCTTATGTCAGGTCCTTGAAGGGTAATCCCTCCAACCTGGGCTTCATCCCCACCAAGGTGCAGAAGAACTCTTACTGTGTCTCCTTTGGGACCAGGACATCCCTCCAGCCCTGCTGGACCCTGGGAGCCCTGGGCCTCCTCTGTCCCTCATGAGGATGTTGAAGACCACAATGAGCTCTGTCCCCAGTCTGCTCCATCTGAACCATCCCAGTGCCCTCAGTCTGCTCCATCTGAACCATCCCAGTGCCCCCAGTCTGCTCCATCTGAACCATCCCAGTGCCCCCAGTCTGCTCCATCTGAACCATCCCAGTGCCCCCAGTCTGCTCCTCATGGGCCCCTCCAGACCCTTCCCTTGTGGCCTCTTCTGAACACTCTCTCATAACTCAATATCATTTTTCCTCTGCTGCTTTCTAATAACTCAATGTCATTTTTTCTATCGTGGTGCCCAAAACTGCCCCAGAACTCAAGCCTGGCTTAATCCTGAGCCTGGGCTTAAAGTGCTCACTAAACCCAGTTCCTTCCTTTTCCAAACCCACAGTCAGGGCCACCACCCTGCAGCTGCAGGAGCTCCCACTGCCCACTGGATGAAAAACCCCCAAACCAACCTAAGCCATGGGTGGTGTTTGCCCCACACCCCACACGGGACCTGCCCCTGTTTCTCTGGGTACTCACTTTGTCTCCTTTGGGTCCCACCAGTCCCCGTCTGCCAGGACAGCCCTGAAAGGCAAAGGAGGTGAGCTGTGACCCCAAAGGGGAGATCCCACAGTGACTGAGGGACCAGGGCCACAGCCCCAGGGAAGCAGGGACTGAAATGGCTGATTCAGAGCAAACCAGCAGCTTCAAGTCCTCAAGAAATACCCCAAAACCCAGTGTGGGGTGGGAAGAGCCCCCTGGTTTGGCTGCACCTGCAGCTGAACTGTGCCATCCTGAATAACCACAGAAACACCCCAGACCAGGCAGGAGAGCAGGAGAACATCTCCTGACACATGGGGAGGACAGGCAGTGTGTTAGGGGGAAAAAAAAAACCAACCCTAAGACTGAATCATATCCATACTCCAATAGGTGTTTGGACCAGGACAACTTTTAACTGGTGGGAGATGTGATCTGGGTAAAAATGCACATTTTGGCCAAGGACTGACCCCACTTCAGGGCTTACCAAGGAGTCTGTGTGGGCAGGAACAGCCGGGGGGGGATCCTGGCATTTTGGGATGATAGCAATTCCCTGTAAGGTGTTCCCTGACAGCCTCTGCCTGTGTCTGCTGCAGCTCTGACAGCCTCAGTTCCACACACCAGCTTTGCTCTGAGCCTGAAGGTCACCAGATCTGAAACCCACAGAGCTCCACGGCTCAGTTCCCTCTCCCCAGAGCCCCCCTGCCCTCGGGAGCAGCAACAGGACAACAGGGAAAGAGCTGGGGACACATTTTATGGCTCTGGCCATGGCTGGCACGTGCCACCACTGAGCTTCAGTCCTACACAAAATTCCAGCCTGGTTTGGGTTGGAAGGAATCTTAAATCCCACCCCATCCCACCCCTGCCATGGCAGGGACACCTCCCACTGTCCCAGGGAGCCCCAATGTCCAACCTGGCCTTGGGCACTGCCAGGGATCCAGGGGCAGCCACAGCTGCTCTGGGCACCCTGTGCCAGCCCTGCCCACCCTCAGAGAAAAGATTTTTCCCTAATATCCCACCCAATATCCCACCCAAAATCCCACCCAAACCTGCTCTTTTTCCATGTAAAGCCATTCCCCGTGTCCTGTCCCTCCATGCCCTTAAGAGCCCTTTCCCATCTTTGCTGTCAGCTCCCCAGCTCTAAACTGGGATGGAGCTCTGGGAATGGTGTTTCCATCCAGGATCCTCAGGACCAAGGACACAAATCCCATCTCCAGCCTCTCTCCAGGACATCAAAGCAGTTCCCCTGGCTGGGTCCCTGCTCACAGCAGGGCTGTCAAACGTCGTGACGTTTCCTCTGCTCCTGGGATTTTTTCAGCCTCCAGCATCTGTTCCTTTTGCCATTTTCTTCTATTTTTGCAGGCAAGAGCTGCAGCAGCAAGGAGATGGCTTGAGGGGGAAGTTAGCAGTCCTAAATTTAAACCAAGGCTGGCTCAGGGATGATGGATTTAGTGCCAGGTCCCTCAAACAGAGCCATGGAAACGGCCCTGCAGGATCCCCCCAGCCCCAGGGCAGAGCCCACAACTTCCACAGGGATGGAAGGACGAGGGAAGGGAAGGTGCCAAGGGACATTTCAATGGGGAAATGAAAGAAAATTTTCTGAAGAAATTGTTGAGATAATGGAACCAAATGAGGGTAAGAATTTTGGCAGAAAAAACAAACACAGAAAAATATTTTAAAACATTTTTCTGCTATTCCTCAATGAAGACAAGACTCCTCTAAAGCTTTTTCTATTTCAAGTTTACCTCTTTTTTTTACAATTTTCTTTTTTCATCCTCAATGAAGACATGACTCCTCTAAAGCTTTTTCTAGTCTAAGTCTACCTTTTTTTCCCTAAATTTCCCTTTTTTCATCCTCTACAATGACTGAATGACTTGAGAAACAGTCAGAACTTATTACAAGATAAATTCATTGCTCTGCTTTGAACCAGGCATCAGTTTGGGGGTGAAGAAGCCAAAACCAGCGATGCCAGTTGGGTCCATGGGTGGATGGCAGGGGCTTGTGTGGGGACTGGAGGAGATCAGGGTCCCCTCTGATCCCCTCAGCCTAATTCTGGGCTGGACCAGCGTGAAATAAAAACCCACAGCGTGATTCAATGATTTGAGACTATCTCTAGAGCAAGGAGGACAAGGCAATCATTTTCTCTCTAGTTTTCAGTGAAGTTTCTCCAGGAATATCAAAAACCTTTCCACAAGGTCAATGCACAGCCCCACTGTGCCTGCACAGGGAGGGTTCCCCACCCTGGACAATGTTTCCCATCCTGGAGAAGGTTTCCCATTTTGGAGAAGTTTCCCACCCTGGAGAAGTTTGCCCACACTGGAAAAATTTGCTACCCTGGAGAAGATCTCCCCATCTTGAAGAAGGTTCCCCATTCTAGAGAAGCCTTCCCTGGGCAGTTTCCCCATCCTGGAGAAGGTTCTCACCCTGGGGAATGTTTCCCACCCTGGACAAGGTTCCCCATCCTGGAGAAGGTTTCTTCTCACTCTGGAGATGTTTCTCATCCTGGGGAAGTTTCCCCATCCTGGAGAAGCTTTTCCTGTGCAGTTTCCCCATCCTGGAGAAGCTTTTCCTGTGCAGTTTCCCCATCTCAGCAGCCTTTTCCCTGCACCCAGCCCTCCCTGCCCTCCTGCACTCACCGGCAGCCCCGGCGGTCCCGGCAGCCCCGGCGGTCCCGGCTTCACACAGCCCTGGTGTCCAGGTGCCACCCACAATCCGGGCTGTCCTGCTCCAAGGGGAGGCTCGGGGACACCCAGCGCTGCCCCTGCCCTCAGGGGACCTTTGGGGACGTTTCCTTTGGGAGCAGCCCCCCGATGAGCTGGGGGGGACACCTTGGGGAAGGGGTCCAGGCGGGGTTTGCCTGTGTCCCCCGACAGCTTCTCCGTGGTGACGTTCTCCTCCCGCGGGTCAGAGCCACGCTCCTTCTTGGCTGCTCGGGGAGGGTGGATGGAGGCTCCTGGGTGGAGGAAGCACTGTCAGATTCCCAGAAATTGTGATGGAGAAAAGGAGGAAAATCGTGGACTCACCTGAGCTTCTCCTGAGCGCTGGCCTGCCGGGGCCGGTGATTTTATTGTAGGTGGAGTTCAGCAGCTCAAAGCCTTCATCCTCAATGGAAAGGCTGCCCTCTTCCTCCTCCTCCTCCTCCTCCTCAGCTGATGGCATCTCGTGAGCAGAGAGGGAAGCCAGGGCACTCCCGTCAGGCTGGAGCTTGAGGGTCCCCTGGGCATCCTCCCATGGCCAAGGTGGCCCTGGGGCAACATCTGAACTGGTGAGTCTGGAGTCCTGAAAAAGGAGAAGGGGAAAAGTGAAGTTTGAAGGGTTCAGTTATTTTTCTCCCTTTCCTGCTCAGTGAAGTGCCCAGGGAGGTTTGGAGTGCCCATCCCTGGAGGTGGCACTCAGTGCTCTGGGCTGGGTGACAAGGTGGGGATCTGTCACAGGTTGGACTTGGTGAGCTTGGAGTCATTTCCAACCTCAGTGATTCTATAATTCCTCATTTCCCACATGCAGGAGTGCTGCTGGGGGAAGGAGAGGGCACAGCTGGTGAGTGGCAGGCAGGAGCCCTCAAATTCTGGGACAGTTCATGCAGAGTGAGCAGGACACTGCATCCACCTGCAAACCAAAACTGCATCCTCCT